TTGGGAATAAAAACAACCAAGAGTAATATTATGTGATGTGAAAAATCACATGAAAGTTGAATTTCAGTGTTCATAAATAACAGTTTTATTGGAACACAGCCACATCCTTTTGTTTCCACATTTCTATGGTTGCTTTTATGGTAAAGAGCAGAGTTGATTAACTGTGAGACCATACAGCCTGCAAAGCCTAAAATAGTTACTATCTGGTCTTTCACAGAAAAAGTTGGTCAACCCTTGTTTTAGAAGAAATTCAGTAATATAAGTATCAGTGATACAAAAGAGAATATATGATATGATCCCATTTCTAATACTGATATGAAAAGTAAAAAAATATAAATAAAAACACCAAAATTGTTCTCCCTGAGCATTAGTATAATGATTAATGCTTTTTCATTTAAGAATTTATGATTTTGTCAATATACATATATTGCTAATATAGTCACACAAAAATTTTTTAAAACACATACCATTGGAAACACTTTAAATTTGTAATTTTGAGATGGCTATTTGGGAGAGAAATCTCAGAATGAGAAAAAGTAGGAATGATAGTCCAAGTATTTGACAACCGATTAATCAAGGGCACTGACTGACCAATCAGAACCCACATCAGGCATAAATACCCAGTACAATTGCTCGAACACATCAGAACTGATACTAGGCAGAAACATTCAGTGCAAGAGTACCAACCATTCAGAACGGACACTGGGCACAAACACCCAGTACAACAGCCCAAGGAGGAACAGGAAGGTCCCAGCTCTACTGGTTTCCTTGACTCTTGGATCTTTACCATACAGTCTTCTACAAGGGTTTACCTACCTCTGTCTTTCAACTGAAATATTCAGTCATTTACATTTTTTACTATGCATATATGCAAATAGTATATTGATTGCAGCCACTGGGAGTTCCAGTTGACACTTCTTCCCATGGCAGGGCTACACACACACACACACACACACACACACACACACACACACACACAGACAGACAATATTGCTGCCTCACTGGCCCCAGCTGTCACCAGAATGGACAGATGATTATCCCCACTTCTGTATCCCACTATTTACTAATACTGAGTCTGGGGCAGGAGCACAGATTAGTCAAACCTAAATCACATGTCTGATCCTGAGCTGCCTGGAGAGTCTAGGAAATCAACCAGCTGAAACTTTAAAATATTAAAGTACTACAACCTAGATGGTAAATACCACCAGACACATTGTACTTAAGCAGCTTAAAAAAAAATTCTACTTACACAGAATTCACCCACAACACAACTCCCAGAGGAATCATGATGGTAATTAGTATTTTGTTTTGCTTTTACCTTGAGGTATGTGACACTGCACTTCCCAGGAAGAAACTCTGGGTATTCCCACAAGGCCTCTCCATATTGGAACAGACAGTCTTTAGAACAGTGGCATAACCTGACCCTCCACCATGTCCTGTGGTTGAGCTAAAACCCACTGCTGCTGATCTGCTATTTTAGGGCTAATTCAGTGCCAAACATATAGAAAACATTCCCAATAATCTTTATGGAATGAGAGAATATGTAGATTATCTGATTCAGTCTCACAATTTTACTCTGCAATAAGCAAAGCAAGAATCATTTGTCCCTTTTGTGTATCTACCATAGGTTTCTTTCTTATCCTTTGATAAAGATGAAGAAATTGGGGCCGAGAAAAGTTCTGTGACTTATGTAAGAACCAATATTTTAAATCTAAACTGGCACCATAATCCCAGTATGGAAAAAAAGGGGGTGACATCATAGTCCCTGTGTGGCTTTTAATACCCTATTATAATTTCCTTTGTTAGTTGAGCATCACTGGTTTAACAAAGTCCTGAGGAAAAATGAGCCATCAAAGGGGTAAAGTCATCAGGGCAATTCAAAACATGGCACAACTTCACAAGTGTCTAAAATGATCACCCACATGCAATTTAGCTCCTAATTTATCGTGCTCAGTTACTATGGCTCATAACAAAGTATCCCAAACTTAGTAGTATAAAATAAAACAACCATTTATTATGCTCATAGGTTCCGCGCATCAGGAATTTGGAGAAGGCACAGAAAAGTAGGCTTGACTGTGCTCCACAATGTTTGGGGCCTTAGCAGGAAGCTTGGAAGGCTGGGATCTGGAATCATTTGAAGACTCATTCACTCACATGTCTGGCAGGTGAAGGTAGTTATTGGCTGGGGAACCCAGTTCCTCTCTGTATGTGGTCTCTCAATACAGGCTAATTTGGGCTTCATCACAGCATGTTGTCCAGGTTCCAGGGTCAGGCATCCCAAGAAAAAACTAGGCAGAAGCTATATCCTTTCTATGACCTAGCCTCAGATGTCACATAGCATTATATTTATAAAACCCTATTTTATACATACATACATATTATGTGTGTAGAGGTATATGTATTAGCCATTGCCTGATAGCAAATTACCCATGAACTTAGTAACTTAAAACCCAAAACATTTATTATCTCATATAGGGTCAGGAATCTGAGAGCTGGGTTGTTCTGGCTCTGAGCTTTTCATGAGATTGCAGCTATAGACTAGGGCTATAGTCATCTAAAGGCTAGATAGGGCTGGAGGTTCTGTCTCCAAGTTCACTCACATGGATGTCAGTAAGAGGCCTTCATTCCTTAACATGTGGGACTCTCCAAGGTCTGCTCTGATATGGCAACTGACTTCCCCCAGAGCAAGTGATCCAAGAGAGAAAGAGAATATGAACAAGATGCAAGACATAGTGCCTTTTTAAAACCTAATTCTGAAGTGATATAGCATCACTTCTTCCACATGTTATTGGTCACACACCAACCCTGGGACAGCGAAGAAGGGAGGTACATAAGGGTGTGAATAACAGGAAGTGGAACCACTGAAGACCTCTTGGAAAATACAATCTGCCACACACATGTGGTTAAACATACACATCTTCCTTCCTTTTAGCTTTTTTTAAAGTCTATGTTTTGTTCTGCTCCATCCTCACGCCCCAGCTTCTAACATGCAGTAGGTACACAATAATACTTGTCAATTGGCTATTATATAAGATATTCCTAGTGTTTGCCCATAGCCAGTTTCCTCCTTTCCTGAACATAGAGTACTTTTCAGCCCCTTTGGATTTGGGTGGGCCTTGTGACTACTTCTGTAGTGAGCAGAAAAAACCTGTGTCGCTGTCAAGCTGAGAGAACAGAAAGAACTGTCGTGATCTGTTCATCTTTCTCCTTCTTGTAGTGGCATCCCAAGAACTGTAGAGATCTCATTTTCTAGCAGGTGTACATAGAAGCATGAACAGTCTGTCAACTTTGGTCCCAGACCTAAGTGGCTGTGTGGACAGAGAATCTGCTGTATGTGTGAGACCGGCAGCAGGCATGTGGAAAGTCTCTGAGCTTTTTGAGAGTTGTTACTGCAGTCTGACCTAGCCTGTCCTGATTACACATATATTATCTCTTCTTTCAATCCTGCCAGGCCCAAGTTGTAGATGGGGAAACTGAAGCTCAAAAAGGGCACAAGACTTGCTGAGATCATCCAGCAAGTAAACGGTGGAGCTCAGTTTTCTGTCTCCTAGTTTGGGAGGTAGTAATGTCTAGTGGTTAAGTTCATGGGGGTTTGACTCAGTAACCCTGAACTGACACCTGATGAGCAAATCCCTGAAACTGTTTAAGTCTCAGTGACCTCAGTTTGTAAATTAGCAACATGATTGTTACCTTTTTCAAAATGTTGCTGTGAAAATTAAATAAAAGCAAATCATAAATTATAAACCCTTAACAAGTGCTTAGTATTATTACTGTTGTCATTTCCCTACACTACAGCTTCAGAACAGCTAACTATGTGTGTTTCAATCCTTTTCCTTTCTTCTTCCCCTGACTCAGATCATTTTCAAGGCATTTTGCAATCAATTTCAAGGCCCTAAGATTATTTGTTCCCTTGGTTTCTCTTGGTGAAGATGTCAACGTGGTTTTTTTTCTTTAGAAAATGTAACAGATTCTCTAGCTTTCTATTATTAGCCTTTCTTTGCCCAACATGCCTTAGCAGCATTTCTCCTTAGTGCAGCTAGCCTGTTGACTCAAGTTAGTGGATACAAAACAACAGGTTCTTGTTCTGCCTATACTCAAGAAGTTACTGCAAGAGAAGACTTTCAGGGAAACAAAGCTTGGTCTGCAAAGTAACACATGTACCTACACTGGGGAGAAGAGGCATTTCCAAAGCTCTCCTCGTGTACTGGTAAAAAAATCATTATTTGTTCCTCAATATAGGAATAGTCAAATAAATGATGACCCAGCCACATAATAAAATACTAGTTACCAAAAAGAATGAGGTAAGAATGTATGAATCCTGGCCTGGAATGATGCTGATGATATGGTTTTAAGTGAGGAAAAGCAAGTTCCAGAATAACATGTAGAGAATAATGCCGATTTTGTAAAAGAAATATATTTTAAACTCAGTACATACATATTCATATATTATATAGGTGCCTATATGTATGACAAAAATACATGCATATACACATATGTACACCCTCATTCAGATAAACACACACACACACACATCTGTATATGAAAAATACATACAGAAGAATCACTCAAAATTGTTAATTCTGATAGTTTCCTGGATAGAGTTGAAGGGTAGCAAGGACTGCCACCTTTTAGTTTATAACATCTATATTGTTTGAGCTTATTTTAATGGACGTATATTACTTTTCATTCATAAAACATATATAAATCAATAAAAATAAGCTACCTGTCTCCCAAGTGAGGACAATGTTGATAACATCAAGAGGGATTAAGCTCTGGGTCAAGTGCTTTAAGTGCATCATCTCATTTAATTGTCACACTGTCTCTATAGGTTATATGTGATCATCCCTATACTACAGATGAGAATAGTAAGGCTCAGAGCCGAGGACCCACAGTCACACAGCTGAGTGTGCAGCAAGTACATTAGTGAGCAGGGTATGTATTCCCAAAATGCAGCCTGGCTGCGCTCAGTAAATATTTTCCTACAATTTCCACAAACTCACCTGCTTCTCAAACTCGGGCTTCAGAGATTCTTCTGTGAAAATATGAAATTGCATCTTCCTGTGGCTAAAGAGCACAGCTGATTTAAGCATGACCAGGGTCTCCTCCAGCCGATTGCCACAGGCAACCACAGCCAGGTGCATCCAGAGCCTAGGTGGCAGCACAGCACGGACATTTTTGGCTTCTCCATGCCTCCTGGGAAAAAGGAAAAAGACGAAAATGTTAAAGCTTACACTAAACTCATTAAAAAAAAACAGCTAGTGAATGGTTGAAACATTTCAAAACATGAACAGGCACAATCTGTTATATTTTATAAAGTGATAAGCATTTTGACAATTCTTCCTGCTTAGAGAAAAATACCATTAATTCCAATATTTATCCTGGTAGCAGCAGGATGAGTCACCATTGGGACTGCTGTAGGTGTCTGAGACATTTTCTGCCAGCACTCAGCTGTCCAGTGCCTGCTGGCTGTGTTTGGAAATAGCATTGCAAAATTTCAACAGCTGACACTAAGTCTGTGGTGCTCCCACCAGCAAGGGTCATGGAAATTAGATTTGAATGCAACTTGAACAAGAGGAGGGTGGGTCATGGCTTTCCCATGTGAAATGAGCAATATGATATTCCTATCATCTGGATGGATTTAGGTTGCGGTGGAATGCATGACCGCTGAGCCAAAGGAAAATCATACAAGTCCGGGAGGTGAGCAAAGAAACGAATACGTGTGCCTCCATTACATCTTGGGAGAGTCTTGAAGAAACAGGTGTTAATCTTAATTGTGTCACTCAAGATTGCTGAGGGCGTAGGTGTGAAATTTAGCTTCCAGTGTGAAACTGATATTAATGAGAAACAGGCAGGCGATGAGGCAAGTTAAGTTGAAAATTACCAAGGTATCAAATACCGAGTCAACAACTGGGAGGGGACTAGAATTCACGAGTCCAGAATCATCATCCAGCAATTTCCTTGTAATAAAAGATTTGTTCCAGACAAGGGGAGGCAGCCAAGCCTCAAACACACCACTGAGAAACACTTGCAGGCAAGCTGAAAGAAGTTGGCCTGGAAAAAAGTGCCCTGAGACAAATGAAACTAATTTACTTATATAAAAGATTCAGAGACCAGGGGAACTTGGATGTCAAATGCTACCTTCCTTCCAAAAACTTTGAATACAATCAGTGTGCTACTCCATTATTCACTGCTCTGCTGAATCATGGCGTCTTGCTCCAGATTTCTTTCCCCAAGAAGAAAGTTGAAGATGTGGGTGGAGCACTTTGGGTAGCTTTCCAATTTGATTACTTAGGAGCATGCTGAGTAGAAGCACAGCTTCCTGGATCAGCTAAGCCCACATGCAGAGAGTTACTCAGATTCCAGGGATCACAGAAAAAGACAGCAGAGATGTTCTAAGTGTCTCCCTGAATCGTCCAATTCTCTTCATCCTCCTTTTGCTATCTAATGAGGCCGCCATCTTCCCTCACTTGGATAACTGGGAGAGCCTCCCTTTAAGTGAAACAGGTGATATAGTACAATAAGATATTTTGAGAAAAAGAGAGACTGAATTCACATAACTTTTATTACAATATATTTTTACAATTGTTAACCTTTAATTGTGCTGAATTTATAAATTAAACTTTGTCATAGGTATGTATGTATAGGAAAAAACATAGTATATACAGTATCCTTTATTCATGAGGGATATGTTCTAAGACCCTCAGTGGATGCCTGAAACTGTGAATAGTACTGCACCCTATAATATGCGTTTTTTCCCCCTATACATACATGCCTTTTCACTTAAAGGAAGCACTTTACAGCTCCTACTTAGTATATCCAAATTGTCAGCATTACTACTCTTGCACTTTGGGGCCAATATTAAGTAAAATAATGGTGACTTGAATATAAGCGCTTTGATACTTCTATAGTCAATCTGATGACTGAGAAAGCTCTTAAGTGACTAATGGTTATATAACGTATACTGTGTAGATATGCTGGACAAAAGAATGATTCACATCCTGTGTGGGACAGAGTGGGCTGGCAGGAGAATTCATAATGCTGCTGAGAATGGGGTGCAATTTAAAACTTATAAATTGTTTATTTCTGGAATTTTCCATTTAATATTTTCAGACCATGGTTGACCACAGGTAAATGAAACCAGGGATAAGGAGGGACTACTGTGGTGAACAAAACAGATCCAATGCCTGCTTGCAAAAGTTACATTCCATAGGTGATAGAGGAAAGACAAAGAAAGAAATAACAAAGTAAATAGTAACTAAGTGATTTACATAGAAAGTCATCCAGTGATAAGCACTATGAAGGAAATACATAGTTGAGCAGGAAGAGATAGAGGAGTGGCTGCTAGACTGGCACATAATATATAGTGCAAAGTCAAGAAAGGCCTCACTGAGAAAGTGAGATCTGAAGACAACTTGAAGAAGGTGAGGGAGTGAGCCATGTGCATTTCTGGGTGAGGAGCATTCCAGGCAGAGGGAATAGTCAGAGCAAAGGCACTGGATCAGGAACAGGCCTGGTGAATTCGAGGATGCCTGCCTTCAGGAATCAAACATCTATTCTCTTCCTCAGCTTCATGGGTGGATTTTCATACCCACTATTAAAGCCAACTCCCAACTAACTTATGTAAAGGGATAGATAGGCGGTGTCACAGATAAGGCTTAAATCACAGACAAAAGAATAGCCAAAATAGGCTACAAAAGAGATTTAATGCAAACTCATTTACTTAAAAAATGCTCAATATTTAGGAACATAGGCATCATCCAAAGGTACTAAAACAGTAAATGCAATAGCTTAGAAATCTTACATATGAAACATTACTGAACCCCAAAACAGAACAACTTTTCCTGGTTTAGCTTTACACACTGGTTTCTACATGAATAAAAAGTTGAACTTTAGCAATCAGGGAAGTACAATAAAGAGATTTCATTTTACTTTCAGATTGGCAAAAACTAAAGAATAAAATAAAATTTGGACCATAGAGTTCTGAAGTGGATGTGGAGGTAGGGGACAGTTCAGACACTGTGAGGGACAGTGTTTCAGTTAGCCCAAACACTTTGGAGAGCCATTTGGCAACATCTAGCAGGAGTGAAGATGTACATATATCCCTCCAGTCATCCCTTTCTACACCCATATGGATAACCTGAAGAAGCTCTTGCACATTTGCACAAGACTCCTGCAAGAAGGTTCACATCAACCCTGTTTATCATAGTGAAATATTGGACATAACTTTGCTGTCCACCCACAGAAGAATCATGAATCTATTTGATATCTTAAGTGGAATACTACATAGCAGTGTAAGGAAAAAACAGAACATCATCTATTAATATAAGCCAAAGACAACAAAAGCAATCTGTAGAAGGATAAAAGTGGGGTGGCACCATATGCATGAAGCTTAAAAACAAGCAAAATAGCATGTGTGGTGTTCACAGACATATGGAGGAAAAGTAAACATGTGTAAGGATTATAAACATCACATGTATGGTAGTGGTTATCTCTGAGGACTTAAGTTTTTATTTCCTAAGATAAGTGCAGGATACATAGAAATTCATTATGTTATTATCTTTATCTTTTTGTGAGCCCAAATTATTTTACATATACTTTTTTTTCATTTTTCTAATGAAAAAAAAGCTTGCACTCCCCTGCTTCACAGCAGGTCACTTCTCTTTGCAGGCCTCATGACTTGAGAATGCACTATACAAACAGCAGGAGCTAGGGGCTGTAGTCTTTCTTAGTGTTCGGTGGCAGACACTATAAAAGATAAATAAAAGCCTCTCTTATTGGCAGTTCAAGTGTCAGTGGTTATAATTTAATGAGAACTTTGCTGCACCAACTTTATTATCTCTCACATTACATTAAAAATTCAGAGAAATTAAGATAAAAACCACAATGAGATATCACCTCACACTGGTTAGAATGTCAATCAATAAGACAAATAATAGTAAGTGTTGGAGAGGCTGTGGAAAAAAGAATCCCTCATACACTGTTGGTGGAAATGCAGATTGCTGCAGCCATTATGGAAGGCAGTGTGGAGGTTACTCAAAAAATTAAGAATAGAATTACCATTGATCCAGCAATCCCTCTGCTGGGTATATACCCAAAAAATCTGAAAACATTTATCTGTTAAGGTATATGTGCTTTGATATTCATTGCAGCTTTATTTATGGTGGACAAGACATGGAAACAAACAACCAAAGAGTCCTTCGATAGGTGATTGGATAAAGATGTGGTTTATATACACAATGGAATACTATTCTGCCATAAGAAAAAATGAAATACTGCCATTTACAACAATATGGATGGATCTTGAGATTATTAAGCTAAGAGAAATAAGTCACACAGAAAAAGTCGAGAACCATATGATTTCACTGATACATGGTGTATAAAACTGAAAGCAACAAAGGAAGAAGGCAAATAAATGAAGAAACAAAAACTCATAGACACAGACTATAGTATAGTACTTGGTTACCAGAGGGGAAGTGGGGAAAGGGGGTGGTAGATGAGGATAAAAGGGGTCAAATACACGGTGATGGAAGAAATGACTCTGGGTGGTGAACATAGATATGCTATATAGATGATGTATTACAGAATTATACACTTGAAACCTATGTAATTTTACTGACCACTGTCACCCCAATAAATTTTAATTTAAAAAAATCCCTCAGGCTTCATGTAATAAGCATTTGTGTTGTGCAGTCACAATGAATAATCAAGTTTAAGGTCGCTGAAATGTGACTTTCACCAACTCCTATCAATGGCACACTCAGCACCTCTCAAATGTCACTCAAGACTGTGAGGATCAAGGGAAGTCTAGTCTACAAACCTAGGACTTCTTAACCCCTTGAATCAGGGACTTTGGTGGGGAATGGGTGATAGGGAATTGTAGCAGTACTCTGACTGATGGCTAATTATGTTCTTATTTATACTTTATAAAAGGAGACCAAAGTAGACATTTACTGTCCAGGATTTTTTTTTAAAGATTTTTATTGGGGAATTGGGGCGATGGGAACAGCACTGGGGAATTGGGGGAAGGGGAACAGACAAGTTCCTGTCTTTTTGTTCTTCAGTCTGTTGTGGAGGACGTTGCTTCACTGGCCCAAGTTGGCACCATCATTGCGCTCTTCCCGAGTGAGGCAGATCAGTCGTCGGCTTCTGGATGGCCGCTCACGGTGGCTTGAGGGCCGCTCACGCTGGCTGCT